TCACAGCAGCAGCAAAGAACCTCTGGCTAATAAAGGACCAGCTCAGGAAACTGGGAAGAAAGTCCCTAAGGTTCAACGGGGAAGACAGAGTCTGGACTTTGTTCTGTTGGGTCCCACCATTTGCAAAAATTTTCAAAAGAAGTGAAACTCTCCACACCTCCAGTTTGGTGCTATCAAGTCTACATTTCTTCATTTAGCCAATAATCACCTCCTCACCCCAGTGGCTGTTTGTAAGTACTATGGGTGCTACAGTAAACATAGCAAATCTCTGCTAATGTACACCTTACACTCTGGCAGTTTTACAGAGTACGCGAGTATTCTTTACTTACACACAAAGTGGTCATTCTACCGAAGTGAGTGATCCTTCTTACCTCTCCAACTGTGTGGTTACAACAATAAGGTCATAACGAGCTAGCTATCAAGATGTTACCACCTTGGGGCTGGGGATTTAGCTCAGCGGCAAAGCGCCTGCCTGGCAAGCGCAAGGTCGTGAGTTCGGTTCCTGGTACCGGAGAAAAATTACAAAAAAAAAAGATGTTACCACCTTGTATGACAAAAGCAAAGTATGCCAAAAGGCCTGCAAATATCCCAATTTCAGATGTCAGGTCTTTCTGCATGTTAATGAGTCTTATCCATGTTCTCCCTCATTTCTCTGGGTGATTTATTTTCATGCAATCTGGATAAGAAATTTACACAATGTTTGTCATCTGCTTCTTTTGACAGGAGGCTGTTTTCCTAAGAAGTTAAAAATTTGGCCATCAGCAACAGTATGGCTCTTTCTATGAATTTATTTTGTTTGTGAATATATTCTACTCTTCATGAAGTAATATTTAAAGATTGTATTTACTTTTTATTAATAGTGCTTTATATTTCTAATACATAAATGATATTCTAACAGAAGTTGGGTTTTTTTTCAAAGACAATTAATTTTGAATTTTAAAATTTCCCTTAGTTATGAAAATTTCACCTAGGTGAATTGATAGGCAATTGAATTATGATTATAGAAAAACATAAAAAATACTCAACTACTTGCTGTTTCAAAATTAAGTACACCAAATTATTGGCATATAAAAACTCAGTGCTGAAATTTACTTTGAATTCTACTCATTATCTTTTCCTATAGAGTTTAATGCTGGGCTAAATAAAAATCCCAGTTCTTCCATCATAGGTTGAAGTTTTATAAGGACAATAGGCATAGAATACTAAAACAAAAACAGCAACATCCTTAAATCAAATAATTTTACACATTCAAAAGACCAGTACAATAATTACCAAGCATGTACTTTACTTTTTTTCTTGTACAAGAGCTATTCAGTTTTACTCCAATTTTATTACTGTATTGCCTAAGGCCAGAGGAGTTCAGCAAAGTGAAAGGAAATTAAAAAGGCAACAGGGCAATAGGGTGGCAGAGTCCCCCAAAGAAGTTTTATCCTCAGAAGATAAAGAAACTCAGTTAAATGTTGCAGATGAGCCATTTGAAAGTTAAAATAAAGAAAAAGACAAAAACTCAAATGGTATGGATTCCCAAAAGTAGTAAACTTTCAAAAACAATTATTTTAATGTTTTTTTAGGCCAAAAACCTCAATGATGTCTAAGAAATACTCTCACATTATTTGCTTCTCTCCGTTAAGTCAGAGTTCTTTCATCTATATACTGCCTGCGCTCAGTTGTCTGAAATAATTGAGTGTATAGTTTTAAGATTACTAGTTGCATTTCACAACTCATTTTTAAAAAATATCTAATTGCACACCTATTTTCAGTACATCTCTTTAGACTCAATACTTGTTTCAGGTAAACTTAACTTATGAGAACCATTTATAACTTCTGATTAATCCGTATTGTCAGTGGACTAGAAATGACATTAGTATTGTATTGCTTTTAGAGCTATGAAATTGTAAAGATTTGTTTACATATATGCTTATGTACATATATGTCTGTACATGTATACCTCCTACTTAAAATACTAATTTATTTCCTGTTAGATTCAAAATAACAGTGATCCGGTATTTTCCCAGAAGATCTAAAAACACCATATCACAGTGATATATGTGCACCTATGTTCATAGCA